GAGAGGCAGCAGCACGGCACGGCACACACGCGTGTGAGCAAGACATGCGTGTGAGCAAGACATGCGTGTGAGCAAGACATGCGAGGTACAAACAGCAGGTGGACGTGATGCCATGGCAGGTGCACGTGATGCCATGGCAGGTGCACGTGATGCCATGGCAGGTGCGTGCAGAGGTAATTCCACCAAGTTGACGACATGTGTTGTGCCGTTCATGCCGTGCCGTGCCAGCAAAGGGCAACGCCACTACCATACACACATCACATGCCCCGTTCCTCTCTCCACACCACACCTTGCCACGCCCCGCCCCGCCACGCCACGCCACGCCCCACCACGCCACGCCACGCCATAATGCCACGCCATGGCCATCCCGTACCCTACCTGCAGCGAGCCATCATTGAGGCCAGCAGCCACGAGGCGGCCATCAGGGCCCCACTCCGCTGCTGTCACCGGCACCCTGCCCGGCCGCCCCAGCTTCGGCTTCACCACCTGCACGGCAGGGCACGGCACGGCAGGGCAGGGAACGGCAGTCACGCACAGGAGCGAGGAGCCCGAGAATATTCAGCTTGCCCACAGTGGGATTCTCAAGCTGCCTGGCCAGCAGTCGGGGCACGAGGAGCGAATCCAATCACAAACACACGGTACGGTACGTACTTGGAGGGGGGAGCATGAGCGCACCTTCTTCTGCGACTTGAAGTCGCGCACATCCCAGATGCGCAGCGACCCGTCCTCGGACGCGGTGAGCGCCGTGTGGCGCTCACAGGGGTGCCACTGCGCGGTGGTGAGCCCGGCGATGTGCCCCTTGGTGTTGCGCAGGTCGCGGATGTACATGTCGCCGCGCACCATCTCGCCCTTGCTGCGCCCGTCCCTGTCGTACACCTGCCATCGCACCACCGCACGGTCCACACCGCATCATTGCAGGGCGAGGGGAGAGGGAGAAAGGGAGCGGGCGGGGAGCAGCGAGGCGGTGCAGAGAAGAGAGAGGCTGGGCGAGATGGTGTGTGCAGAGAAGAGAGAGGCTGGGCGAGATGGTGTGTGCAGAGAAGAGAGAGGCTGGGCGAGATGGTGTGTGCAGAGAAGAGAGAGGCTGGGCGAGATGGTGTGTGCAGAGAAGAGAGAGGCTGGGCGAGATGGTGTGTGCAGAGAAGAGAGAGGCTGGGCGAGATGGTGTGTGCAGAGAAGAGAGAGGCTGGGCGAGATGGTGTGTGCAGAGAAGAGAGAGGCTGGGCGAGATGGTGTGTGCAGAGAAGAGAGAGGCTGGGCGAGATGGTGTGTGCAGAGAAGAGAGAGGCTGGGCGAGATGGTGTGTGCAGAGAAGAGAGAGGCTGGGCGAGATGGTGTGTGCAGAGAAGAGAGAGGCTGGGCGAGATGGTGTGTGCAGAGAAGAGAGAGGCTGGGCGAGATGGTGTGTGCAGAGAAGAGAGAGGCTGGGCGAGATGGTGTGTGCAGAGAAGAGAGAGGCTGGGCGAGATGGTGTGTGCAGAGAAGAGAGAGGCTGGGCGAGATGGTGTGTGCAGAGAAGAGAGAGGCTGGGCGAGATGGTGTGTGCAGAGAAGAGAGAGGCTGGGCGAGATGGTGTGTGCAGCCTCAATCGTGGCCCGGCCAGAAGCAGGCTTGTGTTGTGTGTGGTGGGTGGGTGGGACAACATGCGCGAGAAGAGGGTTTGACAAAAAGAGCACAATATCCTACTCGCCTTGGTCAGGGGCTAAGTTGCCAAATACGCTCAACCCCTTCAGCGTATAGCGTATTTGGCAACTTAGGTCAGGGGGAAGGATAAACAGCGTTATGAAGTATGGAAGAGGGGAGGTGAGGAGGAGCGGCGCACCTTGGCAGGGCGCACCTTGGCAGGGCGCACCTTGGCCTGGGCGCACCTTGGCCTGGGCGCACCTTGGCCTGCACGCACCTTGGCCTGGGCGCACCTTGGCCTGGGCGTTGCCGGTGGCGGTGATGAAGAGGTCAGCGGAGGGGCTGAAGGAGACGGCGCGCACTTGGTGTCCGTCGAACGGCACGAGCTCCCGGAATGCCTTGAGGCGCGAGTCCATGCCGTGGAAGTCGTAGAAGCGCAGCGAGTAGTCGTAGCTGCCACTTATCACCCTCGTGCCCGTTGGGTCCACCGCCAGCGCCGCCACTGCCTGCCACGCGGTGGGGGGGTGAGGAGCAAGGTGGTGATGAGGAGGGAGGTGGTGAGAAGGTGAGTCCGCAAAAATGAATGGGGCTGGTGAGCAGGCGAGGGACGCAGCGGCTCGCCATGTGGCACTGGAGCAGTGGTGACAAGACAAGCTGCTACAGATAGCGAGCACTGCTACAGTCATCATGACAAGCTGCTACAGATAGCGAGCACTGCTACAGTCATCATGACAAGCTGCTACAGATAGCGAGCACTGCTACAGTCATCATGACAAGCTGCTACAGATAGGAGCACTGCTACAGTCATCATGACAAGCTGCTACAGATAGGAGCACTGCTACAGTCATCATGACAAGCTGCTACAGATAGGAGCACTGCTACAGTCATCATGTCACCTTGGTGTGTCCCCCCAGCACAATCTCATTGCTCAGCGGCACTCCAAACTCGTCCTCCTCCTCCTCCTCCGCCTCTGCTTCCTCCTCCTCCTCATCGTCATCCACATCACTGCCATCGCTCCTCTGCCCACCGTGCGCCCCATCCTGCCGCGCTGTCGAGCGGCTCTTCTTCCGCCCACCGGGCTGCTGTGTGCTGCGAGCAGCAGGGGCAGGCGGCCCAATCAGTCCGCCAACTCCGTCCTCCAAGCGGCCCGGCGGCCGCGGAGGGCCGATCACTGCATGCCCCTCGCCCTCGCCCTCGCCCTCGCCCTCGCCCTCGCCCTCGCCCTCGCCCTCGCCCTCGCCCTCGCCCTCGCCCTCGCCCTCGCCCTGGCCCTCGCCCTGGCCCTCGCCCTGGCCCTGCACCACCGCTGCTCCTCGCCCATCTGTTGCTCCTCCATCCCTCACCGCTCTTGCCCCATCCCTGTCCCTGGTTGCCCCACCAGCGCAGCCACTTGCGGCACTACCACCATTCGTCTCCCGCAAGCTCCCCCCCGCAGCTTCATCTCCGCCCACCCGCTCTGCTCCTCCGCCTGCACCTCCCCTCTCCGCCACAGCTCCAGCGCCTGCCGCTCCTACCGCCGCTGCTCCCCCCGCCGCTGCTCCAGCCAGCCCTGCCTTGGCCCCGTCGCCTAACCTCTTCGCTAGGCTCGGCCCGATGCTGAACTTCATCCCCCCAGCCTTCTTCTTCCCCTTCCCCCCGGCGCGCTCCGCGTGTGCGCGCGCCGTCTGCGCGTGCACGGCCTCGAGCGGCGTGACGCGCTCCTCCTGGCGGCCGAACGACGCTGGGAAGGCGGCGCGCACCCCCAGCAGCGTTTCCCCCTCGTCGTCATCGTCCGCCAACGCGGCGGCGGAGGGCGGCGGGCGGAAGGGCGGGCTGTCCGGAGGACTGTCTGCGTCACCGCTGGCGTCATCCATCGGAGTATCCCGGTAGCGAACGTGAACGAGTTGACGTGTTGCGAACGACGGCTGGGCTTGCGGTAATTGCAGCAAGTGCAGTTGTTAGCGTGCAGAGATAGGTTAAAGGAAATGAAAGTCGGGTGTCTCAGAAATACATGCCGTCAGCACGCGATTAGCTTGCCTACCCTAGTAGCTTACTTCAAACGCGATTAGGTTAGGACGTGGTGCCTCTAAGGGTGGGTCATACTCATCACAATTTGGAGAAATGACACAGAAGTACGGAAACCGACCTCTGTTCGGATAACAAACACGAGATCGGGCAATTTCATGGGATGCGTCCTCTTCATGCTTAGAAAGGACACCCTCCTGCACAAACGAAACGAGCTGAAGGGACAGGGTTCGTGATTCGTGAAGGGTACAGGAATGCTGGGACCAGTGGAAATCGCAGTACGCGTCTGCTCTGCACACGCTCGGCTTCGCTCCGCTCTGAACATCGCGAGACTCGCTGAAGCTGGCGTTCGAGGCGATGGGCGAGAGATGTGCGAGATAAATAAATCTCGCAGAATTCAGCTACGTCGGTTGCCGAGGGTGAGGCGGGTTCGTCAGCGCAACAGTGCGAAATCTGAACAAAAACTTCACGTACAGTTACTACTGTCATGACGCACGTTTTTGCATCCCTGAGCGGCGATCTGTCGTCATCCGGTTCAACATCCGGAGCAGTTACCCTAAGAAAAATGGTTGTAGCGGCCCAATTTGACCTGACTATTGACAAATATGACCCGCCCTAAGTGCAAGCCTCATAATGCTAACTGAAATTGGGGTGGAAGAACGCCACCTCATAAGTCGTCCGTCGAAATTCGCTCTACGTTTCGCCCACCAGCCTGATTTGCTCGGGCTGGAGTATTCACGATTCCGCAGCCGTTGTCGGCGATAGATGACTAAAGCTTCTCGATTGCTTGGTGTGGAAACCCAGTTTCAGAGTCGATTTTCCTTGCACTTTTCGCCCGCACAATCTACTCCTTCCCCCCTCGGGCTTTGGCTGTCCCGCCAATAAGCGACGCGACTCGGATCGGAACCGAGACTGACCCATCTACTGTAATGCCCCCGGAACAGGCCTGCGTTGGTTGGACATTACAGGCTATCAACTAATTCCCACATTGCTCACAACGCAACCCTCGTCCAAATCGGTTTTTCTTCGTCTCACGCTTCTCAGCTTTCAGGCCCTAGAGCTGCGGTGTGTGTAACACCCGAGAAGGTTCTCCTTCCCCCTTGCCGTTCGCGCTTAGCTCGATCGTTTCAGCTGTAACATCCACGCGATAGGTGAACATCCCGTTTTGGACGCCTTCTCGTACCACCAGCGCTACGTTCAGAGATTAGGTAGGCACAACGGTAGCGGCACAGCAGCCTAACAAGCCGGAGGTCCAGCAGGAGGCGGAGCGAATCTTTCGCGATCCCATCCATACAGATCTCGTCCGGTGGGCGGCAGTGGGCGGCATCGCCGTGACCGCCGTCGCCGTCATCATCGCGAGCGTCGCGAGCAGCATGGCGGCGGGCGCGCCTCCGGTGTTCAACCTGTTCATCATCAACAAGTCGGGCGGACTCATCTACTACAAGGCGTGTCCCTCCCGCGTGCTGCCGCCCACTGAGCACGCACGCATTCCGTGCCGCTGCTAAGAGCATTCCGTGCCGCTGCTAAGAGCATTCCGTGCCGCTGCTAAGAGCATTCCGTGCCGCTGCTAAGAGCATTCCGTGCCGCTGCTAAGAGCATTCCGTGCCGCTGCTAAGAGCATTCCGTGCCGCTGCTAAGAGCATGATGGCTGCTAAGAGCATGATGGCTGCTAAGAGCATGATGGCGACGTCCACAGCACTCGTCTCGCTCCTCCATGACGCATTCCATCATTCCACCTCGTCCATTGCCGCTGCAAGAATGCGTGCTCGTCACGTCGCGTTCACACATGTTCCCAATGCTGCAGAGCTCTGCTCGCCGCGTCGCCGCTCCACGCCAGAGGTTGCTGTGAATGTTCGACATCCCGCACGTTGCTTACCCTCCTGTCCCACTCGTCAAACGCCTTCGCACTTCCCACCTACGCCTCCTCCATCCCCTCCCCTCGCTCTCACAAACTCCCAAATCCCCCCCTTCTTCCCTTCTCCACCACAGCTGCAGCAGACCATCAACGACTCTCCTAGTCTGTCCCTTGCTGTGCAACCCCTTCTCTCCCTTCCTCTCCCCTTCCCTCAACTCCCTTTCCCCCCCAACCCCCTTTCCACCCCCCCTTCCCCCCAAAATCTTTTTCTCCAACTCCGCACCGTCCCCGCCCCTGCAATGGCCCCCAACGTCAAAAGTCCAAACCTTGGAGCAGCACGGCAACCGTATCTTGAACTCACTCAAACTGTCAACCTCCCAACGCCTTTCCCCCAAGCCCGCACCTCCCCATCCCTGCTTTCCCCCATCTCCTCACCTCTCTCCCCCCCTCCCCCCCTGGCGCGCGCAGGACTTTGGTTCGTTGAACCGGCTGGACACGAACGACTCTCTGCGCCTGGCGTCCACGTGGCACGGGCTGCACGCCATCGCCATGCAGGTGACCACACACCGCCCGTGGCTGGCCGTGGCTGTGAGCGCCTGTGAGCGCCTGTGAGCGGCTGTGAGTGGCTGTGAACGGCTGTGAGCGGCTGTGAGTGCCTGTGAGTGCCTGTGAGTGGCTGTGAGTGGTTGTGAGTGGCTGTGAGTGGCTGTGAACGCCTGTGAACGCCTGTGAGCGGCTGTGAGCGGCTTTGAGTGGCTGTGAGTGCCTGTGAGTGCCTGTGAGTGGCTGTGAGTGGTTGTGAGTGGCTGTGAGTGGTTATGAGTCGCTTTGAGTGGCTGTGACCGGCTGTGAGTTGTGTCGCTGTCAATGGCTGATAGCGGCTGTGTGATGCATACATCCCTACATCCATGCCTTGATGCCATGGCCGCATGTGACACCCAGATGTAGCGCAGACCGACAGCTTGTTGAAGCGAGATCCCCCTCTTGCCGTGGCCCTCTGTGAACAGCTGTCGCCCATCCCCAACGGTGGCGGCATCGAGATGCTGGAGGCGGGCACCTTCGACCTGCACTGCTTCCAGACGCTCACAGGTGCCCTCCCACCCGTCAACTCCACCCACAGGAATGTTGCCATTCAGATTGGCTGGTAATCCACTGTGAGCAGCACCAGCTCTCCACTCTCTATTGCCCTCTGCCTCATTCCTTGCCACACTGCCCCGTCCCATTCCTCATGGATCTACGCCCCCCTCTCTTCCCTTCCCACATCCCTCTGACACCCCTTATCTTCCTACCACACCGTGCAATTCACTGAGCTGCACACCATGTTACCATGGACGTGTCCAATGTCTCGTACTCATCCAGTCCAAAAGCACTGCGCCCTCCTCCTCCTCCTCCTCCTCCTCCTCCTCCTCCTCCTCCTCCTCCTCCTCCTCCTCCTCCTCCTCCTCCTCCTCCTCCTCCTCCTCCTCCTCCTCATCCGACCCCTCATGGACGACGTACCCTTGGGGCATATTAGGGCAGTCCTATTATTTTTTCGGGTAGCCAAAAAACGTTTTGTTGAACGTCTAGCGTCCAGACACTGCGCAAGGATGCTGGACGTTACCCTGTTTGGGCGTCGACAGTAACGTAGGCTGCACAGTCAGCCTCCTCAGGGCATGGCTGCCCCAAAACCCCGTTCAACCAGCGCACCCTTCTCGCGCACCCCACATCTCCTCCCTTTGAACCCACTCTCCCCCCTCTCCGCCCGCAGGCACCAAGTTCTTCATAGCCACGGAGGTGGGCTTCACGGGGGCGCCCACGCTGCTCGCAATCATCTACGACCTCTACACCGACTATGTGCTAAAAAACCCCTTTTATGAGGTGCCCCTCTACACCGACTATGTGCTAAAAAACCCCTTTTATGAGGTGCCCCTCTACACCGACTATGTGCTCAAAAACCCCTTTTATGAGGTGCCCCTCTACACCGACTATGTGCTAAAAAACCCCTTTTATGAGGTGCCCCTCTACACCGACTATGTGCTAAAAAACCCTCCCACACTGCAATTAGACGTGGTTTCATGCATTTGATGTAGTGCCATGCATTTGTTGTAGTGCCATGCATTTGTTGTAGTGCCATGCACTTGTTGTAGTGCCATGCATTTGTTGTAGTGCCATGCACTTGTTGTAGTGCCATGCATTTGTTGTAGTGCCATGCACTTGTTGTAGTGCCATGCATTTGTTGTAGTGCCATGCATTTGTTGTAGTGCCATGCATTTGATGCAGTGTGAACACGTGTCTGCCCCCCCTCCCCCCCCCCCCCCCCCCCGCCACGCCATGCACACCAGGTGGAGATGCCCATTCGCTGCGACCTCTTTGACCTGCATCTGCCTGCTGCCATCCGCAAGGACCGCTCTTTGCTCGCCGCTGGGGTCGTTGTGCCTGGCCGATCATAGTGCATGCACACAGGTTGGGCCCAAGTGGCTCTTGTAGACTAAGTAGTACGGTAAGCGCCACCATGCGAGCCATGTGGATTGGGGCTGTGAGCAGGCTGACGCATAAAACGATAATAAGCACTTGTAGGGGAAGTGAATGGGAAAACTGATAGCACTTCAACTTTGTTAGACCAATTGGAGGTACCGTACCGTATTATTCCGGCTATAGGACCCGGTGGACTCTCCACAAAAGCAGAAAAACTAGCAAGGGTGAATATATAGGTGGCATGCAGTTTTTAAGACCCGGGTACAATTATTCGTCTATCAGTGTTAGTGGATTTACCATGTACTGTTCGTTTACAGGGCAGGGCAGGGTTGTTTTAATCAGGGTAATTACTCTGGTTTCATGGTGATTTCAGACTTGTCACTGTGTGGTCCATGTAAAATCAGATTTAACGAGTTTTGAACACTGATCCAGTCAGAGTAGTGCTTTAGAGGAGCCTGAAATTTTGTGTACACTCTCAGAGTAGTTTTCTTAAGGACCCTGTCAATACAGAGTACATGTCCAGTGGACCCTGAATGAGACGGTATCAGGACGAAGCTTCCCATAAATTTTGTTCCGATCAACCCCCATGTGCGTAATCATGAACTCGCTTGTACCCATGTGAGGGAACCCTTTCACGTGCAGAACTGACGTAATACCGACAAGTAACACCACTTTCCGCTGTACAGCACAGCTGTCAACTTTGACAACGCAACCAGAATCATGATTTCTGCTGCCACGCGCACCGCGCAAAGCATAGTACGTGTCCCTCATTGGCGAGTGACACATGTTGGCAGTAGTCGCTGGCAGGGCTGTTTGTCCTTCAATGTATTCGACCTTGCATGAAGGGCTGACTACATTGACGACTTGAGGTTTCGGCCATCGAGCCATCAATTTCGTGGCGACGCGTGTCAAGAATAGAACTAGGAATGATGGATTGAACTGGGCAAGAGGTGAGTACAAGTAGGGGAAACCTAACCCTAAAGTGTTGTACTCACTAAGGAGTGACCCTACTGTAGCCTAGAGATACAATTGTAATCTGACACACCCCCATAGGCAAAATAGGGGACAGCAAACACAACAAGCGGTCACAAGACCAGTCTGCAGAAGAGAACACCGCTCAGGGTGGATCACAAAGTCACCACGCATTCTGAGCACAAGCAAGTGGCCACAGGGCCAGTTCACATGCAGAGGTATATAATAGCAAGGCAGTACACTGATCACAACCTAGCAAGATAAAACATGCGGGTAAAAAGATATATAGCAGTGTACAAAAAGAACAAGTCAAGCAACCAACAGGTGAGGCAGAGTGTGCACAAGCCCAAGAGCAGTGCAGAAACGGTGATGATCACCAGCCCCAAGGGCCTTGGTGAAGACATCAGCAGTGTTGGCCCGAGAGGCCACGTAAGCAAGGCGCAGCTGACCACGCTGCTGCAGCTCACGCGCAAGGAACTAGCGAAGAGCAATGTGCTTCGTTCTGTGCTCCAGTCTCTGCCCGCGACACAAGGCAAGCATTGCCTTGTTGTCGACGTACAGAACTAGAGGAGAACGAGGGCGCTCCCCCAAGTCGGTCAGCAGGTAGGTCAGCCAGCGTAGCTCCTGTGCAGCCATGGCCCTAGCGTAGATCTCGGCCTCACAGCTGGAACCAAGCACAGAAGAAGAACGAGTGGACCTCCACGAGACAGAACCAGAGCCAAGACTGAAGGTGTAACCCTGTGACGAACGCTGAGTCGTTTGGTCGTCGGCCCAAGAAGCGTCAGAGTGTCCTGTGAGGACCACCGAACCCCGTCCTCCAAGTACGAGCCCCATGCCCGATGTGCTGCACAAGTAACGCAGTACCCTCTTCGCAGCATCAAAGTGCACCTTTCGGTGTCGACCAGGTGCCACGTAGCGAGCCAGGAGGCTGAGAGGGTACGCGAGGTCAGGTCGTGTGCACGTCATCAGGTACATGAGGCAACCCACAAGCTCTGGGTACGGACCACTCGGCTCTACGGACTCGTCCGAAGGTGGAGCTGAGAGCGAGTGGCCGGTAGACAGAGGAGTGGGCTGTGGCGAGGACCAAGTGAAGCGGAAGCGCTGAAGGACCTGGTGCACCATGTGTGACTGAGTGAGGGTGATGGTGCGCTGTGGTCTGTCCCGAGTGATCTGCAAGCCAAGATAGCTCCGCAGCTCACCCAGGTCAGTGCAGGTGTGTCTCTCCTGCAGCTCTGCCTTCACTAGGGCCAGTGCCTCGGTGTCAGCAGTAGCAAAAACCAAGTCGTCGACGTACACGAGGATGTAGAACGGCGGCAGAGTAGTGTCGGTGCGTAGAAACAGCGATGGGTCAGCAGGCGAAGGAGCAAACCCAAGAGCCGCAAGTGTCGTCCTCAGTGTGTCGTGCCACTCACGGGGCGCCTGACGCAGGCCGTACACTGGTCGTCATAGGCTCCACTGGGTACCCTCAGGAAACGACCCAGTGAAGCCCTGTGGACGGCGCAACCAGATGGCCTCGTGAAGGCTACCCTGCAAGAAAGCTGTCGAGAAGTCGAGGGAGTGCAGTTCGTAGTCACGCTGAGCTGCAACGTGTAGCAACACCCGAAGAGTGGTCATCTTCGGGGTGGGGGAGAAGGTCTGAAAGAAGTCGACCCCCTCACGCTGACTGAAGCCTCGAGCAACGTAACGTGCCTTGAAGGTAGGCGGAGAACCCGACGGCCGCTTCACCCTGAAAATCCACATGCCACTGACGATTTTCGCCCCAGGTGGGGGAACCTCGTCGACGTAGGTGCCTGTGGACTTCCAGGAAGCCATCTCTGCGTCCATGGCTGTCTGCCACTGAGAAGAGTACTCACCCGAAATTGCCTCCCTGTAGGAGCGTGGGGTGGGGATGTCAAGTGCATCCGGGTCTCCCTCATGGGCAAGCAGCATGGTCGCGTGATGGGGTGAAGCGGCAGCAAGGCACTCCAGCTCCTCCTGTCTGTCCTCAAGAACGTCACAGCCAAGGGCAGTACACCCAAGAGCAGTCTCACCCCCGACGGACGGAGGACAGGCAGGGACAGGGTCAGAGACAAGACTCGCAAGGTAGTCTAGGCGGTACACAGCAGCAAAGTCAACAAGCTCAGCTACTAGGGCAGACGCAGCAGGAGACGAGAACGTAGAGTCCGTCACAACCGTAGCAAGAAGGCGAGTAACAGTCGGACTGGACGCACGAGCAAGGTCAGACGGAGGGTCAGCAACGTCAGGCAGAGAGGACGCAAGAGGTAACCGTAGTACAACACGCTGAGGAACAGAGGAAGGACGGAGTGTCATATCGTGAGTGCCGGGGACAGCCGGAGCACGCGGACGACGAACACGAGGAACACGAGCACGGACAGCAGCTCTAGGCTCCGGCTCAAGGTCAAAGCTAGACTCAGGCTCTCGACGCTCAGGGGTGGAAGCATGAGTCCCAGGCTCTTGATGCTCAGTCAGGGACTCTGACACCGCAGTGTAAGGAGCAGGAGCAGGCAGTGGGGAGTGTGGTAGCAGCGGTGGCTGTGACTGGTCCACTGGCGGACACAGCAACGGAGGAGTAGTACCTGCCACAGGGAAGCCAGTAGCACCTGGCAGAAGACTGAGAAGGTGGCGAAGAGCACCAGTAGCTCCCGTACCTCCAGCACGAGCAGCTCCTCCAGTACCCCCAGCAACACCTCCAGCACCAGTAGCACCAACACCTCCAGCACCACGAGCTCCGACAGCGCCAGCACCTCGAGCACTAGTAGTACCTCCAGCACCTCCTGTGCCTCCAGCTCCAGCTCCAGCACCAGCAGTACTAGCACCTCCAGGGTTTGCAGCTCCCGCAGCTCCAGCACCAGGAGCACCAGCACCTCCAATGCCACCAGCTCCAGTACCTCCAGCACCAGCAGCAGCTCCAGTACCCCCAGCACCAGCAGCTCCAGTACCTCCTGCACCAGCAGCACCTCTAGTACCTCCAGTAGTACCTCCAGCACCTCTAGCACCAGCAGCACCTCCTGGACTAGTAGCTCCAGCACCAGCAGGACCGTACCCTCCACCACCAGGACTGCCTCGCAGAACGACCCACGCACGAATCGCCTGCGGCGAGAGCGTCTCAAGTAGAGCAGGCTGCGGTGGCTGTCCAGCTCCAGTACCTCCAGTAGTGGTAGCTCTAGCACATCCAGCACCAGAAGCACCTCTAGTACCTCCAGCTCCAGCACCTCCAGCACCAGCAGCAGCTCCAGTACCTCCAGCACCAGTAGTACCTCTAGTACCTCCAGCTCCAGGACCTCCAGAAGGACTCGCAGCACCCCCAGAGTCAGCACCCGAAGTCTCAGTACCCTCAGACCCAGCACCCTCAGTCTCAGGACCCTCAGTCTCAGCACCCTCAGGCTCAGTACCCTCAGTCCCAGCACCCTCAGGCTCAGTACCCTCAGTCCCAGCACCCTCAGTCCTAGCACCCTCAGTCTCTGCTCCAGTATCCACAGCAGTAGGCTGCAGAGGCGGCGAAGACGGCAGAGGTGGGAACCTGGGGGGGGTAGCCAGACGAGGAGAGCGGGCACCCCCAGACTCACCACCCCCAGCCCCAGCTCCAGTAGTCTCAGCTCCAGAGCCCACAGCAGCAGGCTGCGGAGGCGGCGAAGACGGCCGTGGCGGGAAACCCGGGGGGGTCGCCAAGCGAGGAGTGTGGCGAATGGTCGCCGTGTCGTCGGCGACGGCGTCACCCCCCTTAGGTGAGTCAGAGGAGTCAGTAGAGATCTCAACTATCTCATCCAAGGGGGGTGGGTCTACCTGGGACACACCTGAGGGAGCAGGACCCTGTGGGGGGAGGGGGTCTACCGGGGGGGGGGAACTGGTACCAGGAAGAGGGGTGCAAGGGGGACCGGGTGGGACGCGTGCGGGTGAAGTCGGTAGTAACAGACCGACTCGTCGAAGGTGACGTCCTGAGAGGACAGAACACGACGCGAGGCAGGATGGTAGAACTGCCAGGGTGGAGCGTTGGTGGGGAAGC